GAAGCAGGGTCAGCCCCAATTAGTACTTGGATGGGAGACCACCAAGGGAGTCCCAGGGTTGCTACGCAGTGGTAGTTCTATGTTCATGTTGAGGCTCATGCAGGAGAAGTCTTATTTGGCTATGTGTGAAACTGAGTCTAAATCCAAATACATTTGGGATTTAAAGTTTAGATTATAAACTCTTTGGAAGGGGGGGGGACAGGCCGTCCTCCCTTGGGCATGTTACTCTTGTCAAATTCACTGATGATGCTGTAGCAGAAATAATGAATGCTAATACTTCCTGGCTCTCTTGTGAGCTGTTAGGATTCTTTGCATGATTATTTTTCTTGAGCAAATAGACCATGGTGCTGTTCTAGCATCAGCAGTGTGATACGCCTGATGCAGAAGGGTGGGGGAGACCCCATTTGCTGTTCTGTTCCTAATTCCATTTTTCCTCAAGTCCCAGGAAATACAAAATTGAAATTGGCAAACCACACACACACAAATGTTCATTACTGGTAGAGAAAAGAGGCAAGGTTCCCATGCAGACTTTAGGGCAGGGGTCCTCAAACGTTTTGAGCCTGTGGGCACCTTTGGAATTTTGAGAGGGCTGGTGGTGAGCACCATCCCAAAATGGCTGCCACAGGAGGGGGAGCCAAATGCAAAATGGCTGCCTCAGGAGGAGGAGTCAAAGGGAATACTTGCCTCCTTGCACCTCCCAGGAAGAAATCTTGAAGGGGAAATGGAGCCACACACTGACTAAGGAAAGCCCAGAGGCTTATCAGTCCTCCACATCCTCCAGTGGAAAACCCTTGAAGGAGGGCAGCCAGTATCTAGCCCTCCTTTACAATGGCCTTGCCCACTTTCTGAAAAGCTTGGCGGGCGCCAAGGAAAGTACTGGCAGGTGTGATGGTGCCCACAGGCACCACGTTGGGGAACTCTGCTTTAGAACCATATCCTATGCACCCATATGGAGGAGTCTTGTGGCAGCTTCAATGTGTAACACATTTTTATTCTTTTTGAGTCCAGTGGCACCTTTAAACTTTGTTCTGCTTTGCTCAAACACTGCTGCTTCAGACCAATACGGCTGCCCACCTGATTGTGTGTTTTTATTCTGTCACATGGCTTTCTTGGCCTAGGGCCCACCTGATCAGATGTATGCAGTGAGCGCTGGTCCACAAAAGTTTGGGCTAGTATAAAATAAGGATCATTTTGAAGCAGGCTCGTAGCTACAGTGGGGCATCTTGGGGCTAGGCCCCCCGACTTAGTGGCAAGGCCCCCTGACTTCCCATCCAGCCCAGGGCCCCCGAGCGGTGGCAGGTGCGGGGAAGGAGCCGAGTATTTCTGCATGGCTGTCTGGCATACGGTGGCCCCACTGAGCCAGACAGCACCTCTCTATTTCCCCCAGAAGGTCTATTTGACTTTAATTAGGTTACCTTTAATTTGATCAACCAGTGCCCCCTAAGAAATTTAAATGCCCCCGACTAAGAAATTCCTGGCTACGGGCCTGTTTTGAAGGCACCCCAGGACGCCTTTTGATCTTTCTGTGACGGGCCAACCTAGCTGTTCCTCTGGAATGAATCCTACACGTGTGTACCTGGAACAAAGTGGGAGTCCACAAAAGCTTATCCCCAGAATTAAACTTGGTTGGTTTTAAAGGTGTCACTGGACTCAAGCTTTGTTCTAGAAGAGTTTACAGAGCTCTTCTTACAGGGGCTACTGTAAGTTCTTGGAGGATTGGCTACATTAGGGGTGTGTCGCCTAATATGCAAAGGAGTTCCTGCTACAAAAAGAGCCCTTTAAGTGTGCGGACTCTAATGTGGGAGAACCTGGTTTGATTCCCCACTCCTCCACTTGCAGCTTGGGCAAGCCATAGTTCCGTCAAAGCTGTTCTTGAAAGAGCAATTCTTGAAAGAGCTCTCTCAGCCCCACCTACCTCACAGGGTGTCTGTTGTGGTAGGCTTACCAACTCCAAACAGCCCCGTTGCCAGAGCGACGCGTAGTGTCACATCCTGGTGACGGCGGTGCAACGCGTATCACCGTCCCCGCGGCAGGGATCCTGTAAAGACATGCGGATCCCCTGCCGCCACTTGGTAAGCCTATGTTGTGGGGAGGGGAAGGGAAAGGAGTTTGTAAGCCGCTCTGAAGATGCCTAGTGAAGGGCGGGGTATATAAATCAAATATCTTCTTCTCAACCCCTCACCCTTCCCCTGTCTCAAGCAATGAAATCCCTTACCATTTTCAGAAGGAACTCTTGTAGGGCTGGCCCTTTAAGGAAGGGGGCAGAGCCCCCAGTAGCCCCACTGTAGCTGTGGGCCAGGCCCAGTCTCATCAGATCTCTAAAACTAAG